ACATAGTGAAATTATCCATAATGCAATCCAAAATAATAGCTACAATAATCCATTAAAAATAATAAATTTTACAAAAGTTTGGAGCATCATGAAAAAAAAGAATTTCACAGAGTAGACTTCAATTTACAAAAAGCTTATTCCCAATTCCTCTTTCCGTCTTTCCTTAAGTCTTAATAGTTAATATAATTGACCCTTTAAAAAATTTAAAAAATATATTAATATATTCGGGCTGGGCCAAATAGGCAGGGCATGCTACCCTACCCGTGGCCCGACCTTGCTCGAACAATGCCCTACCCAAACATGCCCAAGTCATGTCAGGTAGCTTTTTTTAGGACCGAGTTGGTCAAAATTTTATCGAGTTCGAGTGGGTATATCGGGCAATTGAGTTACATGCACACCCCTAGCTATTGTTGCTTGTTGGGAAAGTGTTGTCAGAGCTGTTGACTTTGGAGTTCGTCCCCTTTCTCTCTCACACACATACACACAACCGACACCCACTATCCCATGTTTGATTTACAAGATACCTAATAAAAATAATTTTTAATTTAAAATATAAAGTAATTTATAATAATTAAATTATTTTTGTAATTTTATCTCTTTTTAATTAGTCTTAAAATATTTAATATGATTGTATTATTATTTAAAGTCAATGATAAAAATTAAAAAACCTCTTAATTTTTTATAATATTAATATTTTTTTATAAGCATGAAACAGTTAAAATTGTTATATAATGGATGCTATAGAAATCCACTATGACTGCAAGTTTTATGCCTTATCACGGTATCATCAAAAAATGATTACGAAACGCGCATATTCAATGACGCGATGACAAAAATGTTTGAACGTCGATGGGAATGTTTTTGCCCAAAAAAACAAAAAACAAAAACAAAGAAATCATCGCGAGAAAAAAATTCCTAAAATAATAAATACATGAGAAGACTTATTAAATGTGTGGAAGTCGATTGTTCAACGATTACATACATGAATTTGAAATTTTCCCAACTTTATTATTAATTTTCATAGATTCGGCTAGAGCTTCATGACTTTTCTTTCGTATTCTAACGTATAAAGCTGTATATTATCTGTTAAATGATTGATGCTGTGAGTTATCTGCTCTGTCAGGACTGTTCCTGTATTCTTTCGCTGTTTATAATCATAGTTTGTTATTATTTTACCATCTTTCCTTGTGTTCATATTATTGCTCATTTAATTTGCTCTGTATAAATCAACAACCCGTCCTTCCAGCAAGCGATTATTTTTCTTTCTTCATGAGAAGACATAAAGGTATATATGCATATAATAGGGAAAACTAGCAAAGCAAAGCTGCTTGAAAAAGAACAACAATTAGGCATCATGATTCATGAGTAAAGTATACCAACAAAACGTTAAGAGTATGATTTTTAAATAAAAAAGTATATGTACGTAGGTACAAACCAAGGAAAACGATATTGTGAAAGATAAGGTGACGATGTTGCTTACTCTATGAATCACAAGCAACGAGGAGTCATAAAAAAATAAAGTTGACATCTAAATGCTAACCAGACCTAACCACTCCTCTCGTCTATGGCATCTGTGTGTGTACTTTAAGCCATCTATTAAGGCACACTATCATCACAAGGGGTCCCCCTCACATGATTTCTCATTATTGGCTTTAATCAATTACAATTATGGAATCCAATTTCAATTATTTCAACTTGGCTACCTCTCTCATAAATTCAAACAATCAAACTTACAACTTAATTAGATGACATTAGCTGTTCCTTCTCTTTAACGTTACCGACACCAATTTTTGCTTAGCTATGCGGATTTTATTCATGTTCCCACATAGAATGTATCACTTCTCAATTTCTTAATTACCTGGTCACGAGATTACTTATTCTGTAATAATATTTTAAATATAACCAATTCCTATGGACGTTCCTTCTTTGGAACCACACGTACCTTTCTATCTCCGTGCTATAGATAACAGTCGGGAAAAAATTCCAATTTCTTAGATCTGATTCTATAATAAGCTTTTTCCCAAAAAGGAGCTATAGAAGTAGGTGTAAAATAAATTACTTATTGACACAAGAGTTGTTAGGTGTATGTTTACCTTAAATTTGTCCAGGATATGATATGGGTATGTTATTATAGAGGCGAAACTTTTGTTTAATAGAATATATATCCACACACTGGTTACGCTTGGAAAATCTGACTCTTTTTTTTTTTTTTTTGTGGTCATTTTAATGTGTTTGTTTATTCAGAGGTTGCAAATGACCTGACTGATCTCCGAAGCTTTCACAGCATATAAAATACCACAGTAGGCTTAAATATTCTTCTAAGCACAGTGAAGAATCGAGGGCAAATAAATTAATAATGTCGTTCCTTCTAGATGATTACAACAGCAACATTAATAAATTTAGAATTTTCAACCGATCCCTCGCAGTGGCCGTGCGTGTTAACGGCACAGTGGGATTCCATTTTGTTGGTGGTAACATAATATTCTATTCGCCTCAAATTATAAGATAATATTATATATATATCAATAAAATATAACAATTACGCTTTGTGAACTTACTTTTCCAAAATAAAATTATAAATTTTAAAAAATATTCTTATATATTTGATCATTATATTATAATATTATTTCAATTATCTCTCTTCTTGAAGGGTAATATTAAAAAAATATCATTAATAATATTTTACTTTTTTTAAATTGTCTTATATTTTGAGATAAAATTTGGGTTAAAATGTAAATTTGCTTTTAAATTATTCTCAAAAAAGCAATGTTCATGTTGCCCCTAAACTAATTAAATTAGAGCAATATTGTTCTTGCCATTTAAACATCTATTGCTGTAGTTAGTGAGATTCTCCTTTTATGAGTTAATGTATAATTTTATCCCTAAGCTATTTTTAGAGGAGCAATGTTACCCTCGCCATTTAAAAATTATAAACGTTCATTAACTATAGCTAGTGAGACCAACTTTTTATTATTTCTCTCTAGTGAACATTGAATTAGGTTAGGATTTTAAATAAACTGTGACATTTCAGTTGTTGAATTGGTTTTTGGATAACCGTTTTATGATAATTTATGTATAGGCTTTTTTGTTTATAATACATATAAGATGGTATGTTTATTTATGATAGTCAATTTTACAGAATGATCTACTCAAGATGATAAGAAGTAACTTTTTTACCTTAAAAATATTATTTATATATTTTTTGTTGGATCAAAAACTCCTCTTACAATGTTGTCAATGTAAATTTATATTGTAACTATTGTTATATTTGTCACCGTATAAAGTTAGTACAAAAATTGAGTTTCTTTTCAATGTATAATTCTTGGAATGTTGGTGAAGAATATCATGACACAGATAAAAATGTTGAATATTAGAAAAAATGTGAATGCAATGATAATGGTATAAAAAGTACTTTTCATTATTTCTATATAATTAAAAGATGTTTATGATTTTTAAACAATAAAGGCAACATTGCTCAAATTTAATTAGTTTAAAGAGAGATTGATTTTTTGAGAATAATTTAAGAGTAAAATTATATATTTAACTCATAAAAAATGGATCTTATTAACTACAATAATAAAAGTTTAAATAATTGGATAACATTATTATGATGAATAATTAAAAAATAATATTACTCTTTAAAAATAATTTAAGAATATAGTTAAACCTTAATTCATAAAATTTTTTTAAATTTTGAATGGAAGAATTATCAAGAAATCTGTGTTTAAGAGAAAAAGGGAAGGCGATGTGCTGACAAGAGAGAACGGCCTGACCTGTGCCCACTCTCACCGTATCCGGTCGTTGAAAGGGATAGATCGACGTCGACGTTAGGTCGCTCCTATTGGAGCTGCAGCCAGGTTTGTTGAAGTGATTCTTTATTATTAAAACATTTATAATTTCTTTTCATAAAAAAATAATAGCCGGTCTAAAACTATTCTTACCTCAACTGCTCTAAAATTTCTATTGAAAAGAATTTTGCACGGAGCTTTTCTATTTGTTGTCACCGTTATAGTTACGACCTGACAACAGAAAGATTTGACTAATATTGATGACAAGAGATATGTTTAAATTATGGGAGATTTCAATATCAAAAGGAAAAAAAAAAAAAAATTCCATCATTACATAATCTAATTCGCTATAAATTTTCTGATTTTTCCAAGACGCAATTTCCTTTTTCTTGAGACGAGATAGCACAGTGGAAAATTTTGTTTTGAAAGTAAAACAGTGGAATCAAACCTTTTTATGGCCATCCACGCGCTTTTCTTTCATTATAATATACTCTTTTTATTTAAAAATATAAAATATTTTAAAAAAAATTAAATATTTAAAAATATAAAATATTTTTAATTTTGTAAGATGTAATCGTTACTTTTTTTAAAAATATTCTTATTGATAATGATTTTATATTTATTATAAAGTATTTAATAAAGATAAATATAAAAAGATAAAATTAATTTAAAAATAAATAATTATTTTATCAAATGAGTAAAATTTAATTAAAAATACTTTACATTTTTAATTGAAGAAAGTAATATTTTGTAACAAAATCTTTCATAATAAATTTTCTTTCCACCATCATGTTGAAAAATATTGAGGCCCATAATTCAAGTAAATCAAGTTTATTTAAATCCAACTTAATTTGAGACAAGCTTCAACATTCCTAACATATAAAAAAATCTATATAAATAAATCCGACACTAATCCCTTAAGCTTTCAAGCTAGTCCAAACACCTATATAATTAAATATTATTATATTTTATTTTTTATTTAATTTCAATTTCTATTTTAAAAAATTAATATTTTCATTTTTATTATTTTATTAATAAAAAAAATGAAATCAGGCATTCAAATCAAGATTTGAGTTTGCGCCTGGTCTCAAATTTTTTCAAGCTTATTTGACCAGTCTAAATAAACCTGAAATAAAAAAAAAATTAAACTACCAAGTTAAACTTTAAAATTTTTTAAACTTATTCGAGTGGTTCGTATGAATTTGGCCCAAATTATCGCATATAGAAAATACTATATCAATGTCAGGTGTCATTACAAGAACGAAAATGTCAAACCCAAAAGTCTGCAGCCTGCTCAAACACACACAACAGTGAATAACATTAACAACTAAATACGGTAGACGTTGATAGTCAAAACTGTCCAAGTATTTGTAACAAATTGAGCAGCATTGGCCTATTATTACACGAACAAACTTGGGCAGATTTTAGATACCTTGGACCTGGAGAAGGGCATCCAACAACAACGGCCTCGAGCGGCGATTTTCCTCCCTAAGAATAATATCCCAAGAAAACTCTTCAGACAGACACAGGCGTGTTCATGTCATTAAGAATGCGATAGTATCTGCTATGTTCTGAAGTGTGCTTGAAACCAGGAAGGAAATCCGAGAGGAATCTGAGAACTGCAGCTAGATGTCGGGAGTCCTTGGAAACAAATGCTTCTTCTAGGAACAACGATGGCCGGATCGTATCCACCTGAAATTTGAAATTGATTCTAACAAATGTTATCTGTGAAGTTTCAACTCGCACCAAAATCAGAAATACCAGCCTCTCATGATCCACAATTGCCACTAACAAGTAGTCATCTGCTCATCTTGATCTTTTTGGACAGCAGGTGGTGCCACACTTCACTATGGCCATAAATGTTGTTGTTGTTATTATTATTATTATTATTATTATTATACTTAAAGGACACCAACAATTTCAAAGGTATATAACTTTTACCGTTGTTATTTGTCATCCCCTGACCAATTCACCAATGAAAATAAACTACAGTATTACTTTTCGAGGAACTACCAGCATCATGATCCTAATAACTTCGTCACTCACTTTTTCTAGCAAGAGAATCATCTTTTGATTCTTTTCATTATTTTATAACAAACTTAACCCATGTTCATGTACGCACAGGTCTTTACAAAATAACAAAATATTTAAAAGTCCGACTTACATACCCATTAAATGGAAATATCATCTATATCAAAAATGAATATTTCCTTTCGCTACGGAAAATAATAATTGGAATATAACAACAGTCCATTAGACCTTACTCAGCAAAGTTGACATTTCCTATCTCGCACAGCTACAGTATTTCAGCACAGCACTATCTAACTTAGAATGACAAGATCAGCAGAAAGAAAAATGGCAGGAATAAAGAAAATTCTACAGCAAGGAAGCCTGCAAAATTATTAGATTGCTACAGCAACAGGGTCCATAAATTTTTATTATCGTATCCCCCTTTTAGCTGTTATTGCTATTAAGAATAGAGAGTATCCAATAACTTTATAATCCAGCAATGAACGTGATAGAAATTACCTTGTACTTCCGAGCATATCTTAAGGCTTCTAGGTAGTATCCATCTTGCACCAGCAACAATACATAATCCTGATGTAAACCAAGCTGTCTCAGCATATCCAGACCAAGCTTCCTGGTTTGGGAATTTTGACGACCTGACTCTAGGAGCTGTAATGCAACTTCTTTAGAGGGTTCCAGAATCTGTAATGAGAGGGTCTCGTCTTAGCATCAAGCTGATTATAGGTTATATGAAGACCATTCTCCTCCCTAAGAATAGACAGAAGAATTGCAAACCTTGTTTATGATAAACAACCCAAGTTCTGCATATCGCTCATTACGGGCCAGCAGTTGAATTGTTAGAACATAGAGATTCGGGAGTATTCTAACCTTTTCTGCATTAGCACTGCATCAATGAATAGATAAGCTTTAGGAAGCCGATCAAAAGGAACTGCAGGTAAAACTTATGATCAAGAAAACAGACATGACATACGCAACTTTCATCATTTCAAGTCACCTGTTCCAACTGATCAGCTAGATTTGCAGTTTGTCCTGAATCTAATTCTTAGTACAGGTACAGTGGATAATCAAGCTAAAACATTTCAGAAAGTCATGACTTTTCCAGGAAGTCTTGTGCTCACTACCGACTCAACCACCTCACTTAGAAACATAATAGTAAAATATTTTGGTAAAATTGAAATCACTGGGTTTTAAGACAGAAAACACAATGCTTTCTGTTGGATAACTACTTGCTAACAATTTGACTTATTTAAATATGGGCAGAATTAAAGCCTGATAGAAAATTTCTCTGAACATGCGGCGATGACCTCCAAGTCTGATGCACATATAACTAAATTTCATATAGAAGGCTATGGATCTACTAGGACAAGATTAACAATATAAGTACTTAAAAATGACATTCAAAGCCAAACCACCTCTTACAGTAGTTGCATACCTGTGAAGGAACTCAACAATGATAGTGACCAAGTAAGAAGGATCTCCAACCATTTCTTCATCAACTGGAGCAAAGACAAAGCTGTACATCTCATCAGGTGAAATCGCAGGAGAAGTAAGTTGGGGCTCCTCTTGCCCAAACTGCAAAGATGATCGTGTAACATGAGCGCTGTGAGCCCGGACCCCTGGTGTATAGCCCCTTTGATTAGCAGATCTGCTCTCACCCTCAGAATCCAAACTCAAAACAGTAGAAGATTTATCAAGAGATCCACTGTCTACTCTAGCAGCAGGTTCATGCACAATGGATTTTCCAAGTGCACCTGCTCCCAAAGCAGACACATCAGCACCAGTCAAAGGGCTAACAGCATGTTGTGCACCAGAAGCTGATGTCTTGTCGGATTTAGTTCCCCTTAGATGGGGATTGGTTTTAATTGAATGGGAGTAAGAGGTGATTAATACATGTATAGCCTTGGCAACCATAGGTACCGGCCTACGCTCTAGAATAAGGGTGCGTACTATACCCAAGCACAATTGTTTGGCCTGAAAGAGTAAAAAATGAGGTCAAGATCTTAAATAATAATAATAATAATAATAATAATAATAATAATAATAATAATAAATCAGAGATCAACCTAGTCAAACCAAATAAGTATCAGCATGAATAGTGAATGCCATTATTTTATTAACTGAAGTTAAAAGTCACTTAATGCAATATTCAGTATAATTCAATTCCTTAAGGCTTGGACAAGTAACTTCCAAAAATTGTACTCCCAATGTGGCGCTTCAATATATGATTATCAGGAATTCTCAATTCTTATGTTCAGTAAGAAGATTGTTTGGCATCCAAAACTCCAAAAAAAGCATGAAATATGACTTCATATAAAAATACTGAATATCCAGCTGGTTAAATGTGAAATTAATCAACTTTTGTATCTTTCAATCTACCAAACAACTTTTCCAGGCCAAGGATAACCATCAATTAAACTAAAAAATAACAATAACAGTCATTCTTAAAATTTTTATCACATGACAAATGAGAATCTAATGATAATCTAATGGAGAATTGGTAGTATGGGATCCCAAGTCCCACATTGACTACTATGGGATACTCAAGGGGGTATATAAGTGGATTGGCCCTCCCACCTTAGCAGCTAGCTTTTGGGGTAAGGTTCGCCATCCCACTTGGGTACCCATCAATTGATATCAGAGCCTTGTTGTTGGCAGTTCTGGAGAGAGTTACCCACAGAGGGTTCTAATCGAAAGGAGACTAAGCCAAGTGTTGTGGAGTGCAGCTGTCAGGACATCGGCTTTCCATGAGAGGCCAATTGATGGAGACTTGGTAGCATGGGATACCAAATCCCACATTGAGTAGCATAGGATGCTCAACGGGGTATATAAGTGGGCTGGTTCTCCTACCTCAACAACTAGCTTTTGGGGTAGAGTTCATCATTCCACTTGGGACCCATTATGTCATGAGTCCCATATCGGGAAGCCACATTAGGGAAATGTGGTTAATGTGGCTTATAAGCTAGCTAGACATTCTCCGCTATGAAGCGCCTTTTGAGGGTGAGTTATACTTAAAGGGCTTGTAGTTGTAACATAGAGAGCCGGCGTCTATGACGGCTCACCCAATTGACTTATAAACCACACTCCACCGATGTGGCCTTCCGATACGGGACTCATATCAATTGCCTATCCACTGTTCCCTAATTCTCATAATAATCTCACATAATCAATACTGCCCTCCATTACCTTGATTGAATACACATACCCATACCCATGCTAGCTATTACAGGCTAAAATTGACAGATTATCCTCCAGCAACTTAAAAAATGAGTTTAGAATCGAAATTGCCATACTTATGACATAAGCTAGCAAATGTTTCTGCATCTCCAAAATATACACCACCAAATAAAGCAGTCAAAATTCCAACAAAAAACTACTAGCTAGACCACAGACTGAGTTCAAAAGTGCCGCAATAGCACCCAAAAGAATTGTAAAAAATGAAGCAAAGGAAAAAGTGAAGGGAAAAGATACCTTGTTAGCTTCCAACTTTCGCCTCTGCAAGAACTCTAACACTGATGGAACCTCTGAGCTACTGGCAGAAATTGCCTGTCACATAGGCCAACTTGTTAAAGAAAGTCCCCACAAATCATACCAACGTATAAATGGAAATAGACTTGCCTCTAAGTCCAAGTGGATCTTCCACAATAACTTATTTGCCACATCACATATCAGGTCAGGAACCAGGAAAGACCATGTATCAGCATAGGTAACTGTGCCGTGATTACTCACAACATTAGCATCTGAACTCTCACTTTCTCTACCAGTTGATCGAGATGAAAAAGAATTGGACCTTGGGAGACCCCTTAACAATAGAGGAAGTGGTGCAGATATAGGAGCTCGAGAATCTGCAAATATATCATACAGTATAACCACCTTTGCATCAACTTGATGAATAAGAAGTACATTGTCCACTGTACTCACAGCGATCCTGCTTGAATAAATTGGCAAAGAACCCTGCACGTACCATGAATGTTGTTTTGTCAAAAGATTCCATATAGTGAAGAATGGTGCAAATGACAACTGCTGCAATCATATGAGATGCAGCATAGAAGTGAACCTATAGTCTATTATTAGTGCACCAAGGTAACATGCCTTCTACAAACCTATGAACCATTAAAAAGGAGAAAAGAAAGAAAAATACCATAAATCTTGAAGCGTGAGAAAACCATAATATGGAGATAAACATAATTATTCTATGTAGTCCTGAGTTGCAAGTCTTGAAAGGCACGAAAGCTGATGGCCAAATAAATTTATAAATATTATGAAAAATAATACAATAATTATTATACTACTAATAATATTAACAAAATTCTCACAGAATGTTGCCCCTAACTAATTCTTATTGGGAACTTAGTCTTCATTTTATTTGGGGAGAATTTCATTAAGGACCATGGATGTTTCATATTTTCAAATCAAGCCCAAAACATTATGAAATTTCATTGTAGGATGTTGGGCCTGAATTGAAATAAAATTGTAAAACAAAATGACCAAACTATTCTTAAGTATATTGCAGCATAACAAGTAACTCAAGGGAATTAACAAGTAAAAGCATGGCATTTAACAAGCAACGTAGTTGATTAACAATAGAAGTCCATGTGGCGATTTAAATCCATAACTCATAAAACCATTATCATAACTTGCAAAATCAACTATATTACTTGTTAATTCTCGTGTTACTTGTTACATCCAGCACATTTCAACTAACATAATTACTAATCCTGAAGAAGCCTTGTTAATTCCTTAAATTGTTCATTTCCCTACATTACTTGCTAATTTCATAACCTTACTTGTGAAGTCCATGTGGGGAGTTAAATCTATTATTTGTTAAGTTGTTAGTATGACTTGTAAAATCAACTACATGATTTATTAAAAAGCTTTACTTTACTTGTTAATGCCCTTATATAACTTGTTTCACCACAACATATTGGAATAAGGATGTTTTGGTCATTTGGTTTTACAATTTTATTCCAATTCAAGCACGCGACATCCTGCAGTGAAATTTTAGATTGCGTTGGGCCTAATTTGAAAATGTCACATCCAAGATCCTTAGATGAAATTCTCCTTTTTATTTACATTTGTTGCTTATTAAATTTTTGACTTCTGTTACGGATCTTTCTTCCTATATTAACAACCCAAAAATATTCCTCAAAGAATTAGCATTTAGTAGCATTCCTCAAAGAAAATTAGCATTTATTAGTAAAGATATTTAGAACTAGAATTGGAATATAATTTCATATTCTCTAAGTTTCAGGATTGAGGAATTTTAGAGAAATCTACCTGCTGTATCACAGCATCACGGTACAGCCTGTACGAATGGAGGAGCATAGCAACTCTATCAAACTGTAAGCAGTATACCCTACCATAACTGTGAAGGATCGTAACAAGTGTAGCTGTTAGTTATGTTAACTATGAATGCATAAGCATAACGTTATAACTGATACCTACACAGTAACGATATAGATGTCTTCAGCTGCTAAAACAGGCTTACTATTTGCTTCAGATTTGGCCATAACCATCTCAAACCTCGGCAGGCGAACAATATCTGCAGAAGAAATCTAAAGAAATGTACTGCTGCATTAGGCAAATAAAATAATAGAGGAAGAAAATATAAGGATCTTGTCTAGATATTTTACAATAAGTGAAACTTGCCTGTAGCGAACATCTTCTGCTCTATAAATTAACAAGAAAAAGTAAACAAGTGAACATAACACTACCTGAAATCCATGAAATGTCTTGCACTGCATTCCTGAAGCAAGTAGAACCAAACGACTTTCATGTGTGTAAGCATACCAACTAACATTCAATTTCTTTGTCTCCACTAATTGTAGTGATTTTGACTCAGAGTTATATGCATACATGTCTAGTCCACTGTGGAAACAAATAATTGCACTTTAGTATATCACTGCACAAATATAACAACAAAACTCTCCAGTAGTTGTAGGTGATTGCAGCAATATGATGTAATCCATTGGTGCATTATACAGGAACTTTTGGCAAGTTCAGACCATTACAATGCTTGTGGAATAGAGTTTCTTTTTTGTATCCTTATGGTGCTTAGCAATGAAATTTGTTACAACTATCCTTGAGATATGTGAAGAGAGTCAAAGGTCGTAGTCTTTAGGTGAATTTTTAAATTCCGTATTATATTCCCTGCTTTTCGACATCAGAATACTATATAGGTATGTCCTCATTATAGCACTAGCACTTCCTTACTCTCTAAAAAAAAACAAAAAAACAAAAAAACAAAAGAGACAAAGTGGATGGGGATTAAAAAAATCTATTGATAATGAGGAAAACAACATAGCAGTTTAGTAGTCACTGAAATTTATTAAAGTATTTTAAATACATATTCATTGGTTGTGAATTTAGCGTGTTAAGAAATAATACATAGACATTACTATTGTATTCATCATGCCTTTTTGCCTGCAAAATCATTCATTAATTTAAGATAAATTCCAGGATAGATACAATAGAAATTAAAAGCTTCAGATGAAGGCCAAACTTTAACAGATTTATTGAGCAGAAAAGAACCCAAAAAAAAAAAAATCATAACAGGAATAGCTCACCCAAAAGCACAAATACACAGAGAATGAGCATTAACTTATTTAGCCCATAAAGGAAAATTTTTTCTTGAATAGAGATTCGTTCAAATCTGAACGTCTTGAAAAAGATGGAGATTTAGTATACCTAGTCTTGATAAGAACAATATCACAGATATGACTATCTGTCCAAAAAAATCCAAGCATGCTTTCAGATTCAGTCCTGCACGTATGAGTAAATGTTTCCCCAGTCTCTCTATTCCAAAATTGTATCTCATGATCTGACCTTTGGATTGCTATGACCTTCATATCTAAAGAATACCGAATAGATATGATGGGGCCTTCACCTATTGGATCAATGGTTGGACTGACATGAGGATCAAAGGGAACAACTTTCCAAGAGAAGACCTAAACATAAGAAAGAAAAATCCACATTATATGAGTCAAATCTCATAAGTTGAACAAGTTGAAAAATCCACATTATGAGTCAAATCTCAAAAGATCTCAAATCTCAAAAGATCTATCATATAAAATGCATAATAAACTACACTATTTGTGTTCTATCATATCAAATTCCATGCAAATCAATGGTCCACAGTCTAGTTTAGCTACAGATAAATTTTATTCTTGAAAGAATTTAAACAACTTAATGTACAGTTCCTGCATCAAGTTTACCAAAAACATACCTGATCAGATGTTGGGGAAAGTAGAAGTTTATTTCCGTCATCATAAAACAAACCCTTTGATCCAGGATTGCTGCACTGTAATGGCGGATACTGAATGTAAGCATGTGAAAGACCACCGGATCCACTCAAATCTATATTAGGCTTTGAACTTGATGCTTTCCCGGACATATTTTTAAGCACTGTTTATCTGTTGAAAGAAGCTTAGGTCAAATAAGATGAAAAACTTCCAGAGATATAAACATGATTTACATTAGACAGTAAAAGATTTCTTAAAATGAAATTGCATAGAATTACAAGAAACATAAAAGAGCTAAAGGAGAAATCTTACTCACAAAAGTTGCTGTTCCTTCCTGTAAATTGATAAGTGAAAACTTCTTATCTGCAAACTTCTCTTAGTAGCTTCCAAGCTTTGATGTTTGCTTATTAAATGCCCCAAAACAAAGACATGGAACAGGTGCACTGTTAAACCTTCTTTTTGAGCTGTTTAGATCCTTTTTTATCAGTAAAGTATAAATTAAGCAAAATAACAAAGAGATGTAACATTTCTACAGAAAAAATAAGATCTCAGATTTAAGCAACAGAGTGGAAGAAGAACATGAAGTTTACAGTCAGAACACAAAGACTCTGAAAAGACCTTCCAATAAGAGAAGATGGTCCTGATCATGATTTAACAGAATAAAGTTTGTAAAAGTTTCTCTTTAGTCATTCCAAATGAAATATTTCCTATTTAAATGCAATCCCTGAATGAAGGCATAAGGAATGACAAAACAATTACCGTACCACGTTCTGCATGCAACTTTTCAATGCCAGAAATTCCTTAGCACACATATCGCGTTCAATCTCTGGAACCTTTGTTGCAACACAGCTTCCATAGTCTTTTGCCTAGTAGATAAAATTCAACCAAATTAAGTTATAAACAAGTGGGAAGAATAAAAATCTAAAGAGAAAAAAACAACGTCTATTAAACAATCTGTCCACTCCCCCTCAAAGTGACAAGCTTGAGCATAACATGACAAAATTACTTTGTTAAAAGTTTAATTAGTCAAACATCCATATGTTTCAAGAACTTTGTCCCACAGAAGATCGATGTTTTATCAAATCTCCAGACACTGAAACGCCTCCATCAAAAGTTTCATGCCCTAGAGTGACGCCATTTATAGGTTATACAAGCAATCACTTTACATAACCATGAAAATAAAATCACAACTCAGTTCAAGATAAAAATCCAACCTGAGATGCACAATTTACCAAAATACGCTGGAAAACAGTAGAGGTATTCTTTTCCTTCATGTCCACAATACTGCAAAATACATATACAAGAAAGACAAAAATTATTTACTTTTTAATAGGCGGGCACAGCTTTAATATGGATAACTATAAGTTTTTTTTTTCCTTTAATCTCATCAAATCAGTAAAATCAAAGGACATGCTATCATAGAAACTTCCTAACAATTGAAAACCTAGAGATCAGATCTCTGTATGTTCTGTTTTAAATGTGAACATAAAAACCTTTTTACCAATCAAGGATAATTAGTCACTATATAGAATCAAGAGTCAAACTCCAACAAGAATTCTCAGAAATAAACTGCAAGAAATATTAAGTTCATATTCAGATGTAAAATGGAAAAAATTTACACCATCATCAAAAAGCCTTGAATCCATGTGATTGCGTGGCCGATCATGTGAAATGCAAGAAAATTCAGGGCAGAAATTATTTGATAACCGTCAAAGAAGGCTCGGTTAGCAAAATCGAAGGACCGTATAATGTAAATTAAACTCCATCTAAAACTTATGAAAGCATTTATTCAGACACTCAATTACGATGTTTCTTTGATCTTCGGTTCTATTATAAATGCGGTTCAGGCATCAGAATACCAAACACGTTCCTTTCTCATGCATCATTAGAAATGAAATCACAAGCTGTAACGAGGAGCAGTAATTGAATTTTCTTAAAAAGAACAACCTTTTCCAATTCTCAAAAACAGAGAAAAGCCACTTAGATAGAATAGCAGTGAAGCAAATGGGATGAAGTACATCCGCTAAAATGATAACAGAAGTCAGGGGGAGATAAAAAGCAACGGTGACTTAATTAAAAAATCCTAGATAAAGACTGAGAACACTCAAGAAATCTTGCTTTAAATTAGTCACTTGTTTTTTAAAAAAAGGTGAAACATAGAATTCGTCTAAGTGCATCATCGCAATAAACCTAAATGATAAAACGAGCTGAATTTTCCTTAAATAAGATGTTAACCCTCTTAGGAACTCCGCCTTCGGTTTCCTCACACACCAAGCAAATAAATTCTTGATCATTAACAGATACGACCAAAAAAAAAAAATCGAATGCAAGGGAAAATAGGCTATTAAGGAGGAAAGATAACGCACCTCATGAATCGGCCATCAGTCTACAATCACGATCACGATGAACACTTCTTTTCCTGAATGACTCAGACTATTGGAACTCCCAACGTACCCAACCTAACAGTCTCCGTTAATTGTTGAGGAACAGGCGGAATCTTTGTTTTGTTTTCGGCCCCAGCTGTGTTGTATGTAGGATGGGCCAGAAGAGGGATCTTGTTTTATTTGGGCTAGCTGTCTTTGCAATGGGGATGCCCAAATTTATATCATGAAGCCTGCCATTCCCCGTTAGGCAGTGGTAATAGCCAAGACCCTTGTGAGGGGCTAGGCCTGACCTATGCCAAACTTAACTTATTTATTAATCAAGTTAAATTTAAACTTTTAATTAAATCTACTTAATTAAATAAGTCATACTTGTTTTTATAAGACCTAATCTATAAATCTAATAAGTCAATCTACTTACGTATGTTGTTGTTATTGTCATTGTTATTGTTTTTAGAGAAAACATTACTTTGAATCCTTTCTTGAAGAGACCTAAAATATCAAAAAATAAAAATATAAAAACTTAAAATATTAAAAAAATGCAAGGATCAATAATAAAATATAAATAAAATGTAAGAATTTAAAATTATTTTTATTATTATTATGTAATATATTACATACACATTAATTTTGTTATTATATTTTTAATCAATCTATTCTTTTTTAATCAATCTGGACTTGTATCTTAACTTTAATATTGTTACTTTATTGTCATGTATTGTTTTTGGTAAGTCCTCCTAATTATTATATATTAAAATTGATAAATTAGGTTATATAAATATAAATTTTAAAAGTTTTAAAATATATTTAAAACATTTAAAATTAATATGTAATCTTATTTAAAATATTTACTTTTAAATATGTTTTCAGGTTAGGTTTAGGTGAGCTCAGGCTTAAACCACTAAAAAAAACTTACAAGTTTTAGATTGAACTTAGACCTCTAATCTATTATACAAGTTTAGCCTTATTTAATCATAACTTAACTCAGTTTAATCTATTTATGAGGTGGGTTCGAGAGGATTAGCAGCCTCATCTATGAGAAGTCTCGTAGCGTTTTGAAGATTTTCCTCGAGAATGTCATTCGTGATGTTGTCACCCACGCTGAGCACGCTCGGAGGAAGACGGTCACGGCCATGGACGTGTCATCCACGGACTTAAGAGGCGGGAAGGATTCTTGGTGGTTTTGGTGGTTGATTTCCCCGATGCCTAGGGTTTTCTACATCTACTAATGTTTGCTCTTTCGGTTTTCTGTCCCCGGATTTGTTGAGCATTATTCAACCAAATATATAAATATATATATATTCATCGTGTGACATCATCATTTTCCTAATAATTAATTTTTTCCTTGAATTATACCAATCTTTCTAAATTTAAATTTCACGTGACATTGAATGAATAGAAACCTTTACATCACTATTACAAATTACAAAATATCCCAAAGGAAGCACTCATTTTGGAGCGATTAAGTAAAAAGCACTCTGAAAAATAGATATAGATACATTTTGGAACGTTTTCTAAAATAAGTGCGTTGAAAAAAAAAATTATAAATTATATGTGAGAGCAGTTATTTGCAAAAGCATTCCCATAAATGATGTCATGAAAAAAAAAAAAAAGATCTACTGGAGTGCTTGCTTGAAAAGCATTTTGGTAGGTTTCCTGAGGAAATTTAAAAAATAAATAAATAAATTAGCTTACCAGGGTGGTTTTTTAATAAGTGAGGAGCTTCTATATCCTACTTACTTTCTTCTAGTTGCGTTAACATAAATAATAGAATACTGTCTACGCGATGAGGGGTGTTGAGGAATTTGATCTCTAGCTGTTCTTCTTTGATCTAGATATAATTTTTTCTTAGTTTAATTTGTGTTCTTCATATTGCAACATACTGGTATGTTGGATCATAACATAGAATCACCTCTGGCCTCTGCCTCATATTGATTTTTTATTCGAATAAAATTTTGGAGTGGAGTCATAATTTTTTTTTTTGGCCAAGTGAACAAAGGAGCTGTAAATTCTTTTATACTGAAGTGCTTTCATAAGCTACTAAAAAAAGAACACTTCCTTTTAAAGCGCTCCCATAAGCAACTCATATAAGAGCATTTTAAAAGCACTCCTATATAAATAAGAGCGCTTTTGAAATACTTTTATAGGCAAAAAATAAGCATTTTTATAAATTATTTTTGTAGTAGTGCATGAAAAAGTGGAATGAGTAATGAACCATTTAAAAATTAAAAAAACTGCTAGAGTTTGATGAGAGCGCTTTTTTATTTTGCACTGATGATATATGTCGATTGTCCTTGGTGATGAAAATAGTATCGTCTACTGCATATTATATTATAGTGTCTAATATATAGATGATATTGGAACATATGCACATATATGACTTATTGTCATGGGAAGTTTTAAATTCGAGGGCACTGCGTGATGATTTAGTTTGGAAGAATATTCTCAGACAATTTTTTTGTTTGGGCCAGTCATATGAACTTGATCACCGTATGCCATTTTAAGTCAATGTTAACGTCTTTTATCCAATTAAAATGATTTGTCTGTTAAACAAAACAGCGGGGGATGCTTACAGAAATACTTATCTGACACAAATAACGTCTTATTTGATCATTATACGATAATATGATTTATTGGATTTAAAAATAGGGAAATGGAGGAAAAAAAGGAACAAAAAGCAAAGGAACTCGACAACGAAAAAGTTCGTTTGTGCATTTATCTCCATTTACACTGGACCTAAGGCAGCTCTGAAAAAAAGTCCATGAGCGAGTAATTGGGCATCTGGATCCCCTCAATTAAAACTCCCTCTCAAGTCTCAATGTAACCTTAATTAGGACATATTAATTGTAGAGGAAGGAGTTATAATTTTGTTAGGAAAAAAATATACTGCCCAAATTCAATAATTTGTGTGTGCACTTGATTTATCTATTTTTAAAAAAAAAATTATTGTTTTGGATATACCATGATGAGTAATTGAAAGTCAAAAAGTATAATTTGAAAAGCCAGATTTGAAGATTAATCGAACTGGCAAAAAAAAAAAAAAGGGGGAAAGAGAGGGACGGAGAAGTGATACTGAATAAGTAGAATCCTCTGAATTGTAATTATATGTCTGACTTGACAAAAGCATTACCCCCCTTCAGCTTGAGAAGGAGGAATAAAAGAAAATCTAGCACATCTAACTAGAAATCATGGAGTAACATGATCAAACCGCAGAGAGCCGCGTGTGTTCAAAATAATTACAAAAGGAATAATTTTATTTGTTATAAAAGAATAGATTTTAATCTTCTAAAGTTTGCTCTCCACGGTGTCCTGAATTTGAGAGCATTGGATTAAATGAACATTTAACCATGTCCTTCGTTTGAGTGGGTTATTATTTTATTTTTTTGGGGTAAGATTTGTTCCAATTTTGCCCTCCATTTTGTGTGTAGATTATACATTTACATTGATTTATATTCACATCACTGCCAATAAATTAAAACCAACTGGATCTATTATTGTCACCTGATTTATACGACGACTCGAATTTTCTCAAAATAGTACATGCGTCTAATTTTTCTATAGAGAGAGAAATGATATATTAGTAAGAAATTTAAATTATAAAAAGATATTTTAGTTTGATCTGCACAAAATTTATAATAAACTTTATAGAGAAGCCAGACTGCAAAGAAACACAGGATTTAGCACCTATCCTGGCTAGTGGAATTAGTTACACCATATTGGCTTCCTTAGTTAATTACGGTCAACAATGTTACTAGTTAAGCAAATTAAAGAAACAGTCTTGGAGGATAAGGCATTAATATCTGTGGCCCAAGAGCCATATGTAGATTTTACACTTGGCAGTTACTAATCGTCGCTTTTCTTCGCTCAAATCACCAAAAAAGGATGTAGATCCAACACAGTACCTGTGCGCTGCACGTAATTCCTTAACCAGGTTATAAATCATTTAAGCCAGCTGTTAGTTAATAATGAGCATCCTTTTCCTGATTCCCTAAAAGAGATGGAAATTAACCAAGGCTAAAACTTGCACTCATTATTCTATAAACTCAAGCTTTGAAGGTGAAGGAATATAAATCATAGTGGTGGTGGTGGTGGGGCTGTGCAACGTGGAGGGAAAACACACATATGGGTAATATCCTACAATAATAACGCTTGAAGTTGTAGACAGTTATGTGCCTCTAAAAGCTACTGGTGGTGAATAAAGATTGATCCCCACAACAACAACCTATCAATATCAGAGAGCTAAAGCTATTGGCTTCTCTAAGGTTGCAACTTAACGTGGTTAATCTGAAAATGGTCCAAAAGCAGTTGACGATTATGACAATGCGGGCTTCCAACTTGCCACTTGTTCATTACGTTACGCCCACACCTTTTTGAAGCAAACAATTACAGAAACATGACACGAAAATGTGTGTCATAATCATAAATGAGTGTGTGAGAGGGTAATGTGAAGACAGAATTACACGTTTAGACGTGTATAACGAGTCATGATTGTTTTCCTGGTTTGTACTTGGGTTTAGCTTTTCAATTTTGGACTATATGGAGATGTGCAGGGTGCAATGTTATCTTTTTGTGGGGTAGCAAATGGATGCTTTGTTTCACAATTCACACCCACTTCGCCATCAAGGGTCCTACCCTCATAAACACTAAAGCAAACGGCCAAGCAAGTTATATGAATATCGTATGGACGAACGAAACCCATATTGCAGAAACAAGATGTACCCAAAAAAAAAAAAAAGGAACTCGAGGCTTTAGAGCCTGCTAGCTAGCAAGCTTGTCCAGGACCACTTCGAGGATATGCCAGAAGGCACAGCAACACATATATAGATATAGCTGAGAAAGATCTCAGCGATCTCTGGTTTTCTATGAAATTAGGCCCTGCGATCGACCTGTGTGGCCCCTCTACAGAGTACTTCAACTCAAAAGCCAGTTTCTTTTTATATATTCAATCTATATATCTAACTCGCACAAATACTACGTACATGTACAAATCTATTCATATATCTGGGTATTCTCAGTCAAGTACCATAGAAGAAAGCAGCTGCAGACATGAAACAAATGTGTTAAGTTGCCTATGTTTCAAATGTGTACTTGAATATATAACCAGGGGTAGGTCACTCTTCTCTCCCAAATAATTAGCGTTCGTAACGGTCAAAAAAATGGGTATAAATCCACGAAAAAAGAA